GCTTAAAAGACAATTATTTGCGCCATGTTTCCGACATGTTGTCGACGTGTCTTTTTTATATAAAAGGCTTACTTTTAGATGAATCCTCATCCATTAATCGGACACGTCGCAAACAAGTTAAAGCATGTCTACGAAAATTTTCATATGACATTGCTTGCTTTATTTTCGGACAACATTTGTCGTTTGCTTTCCAGACCGAGCGGGAGCGTCCGTAGAAAAATGAATGCTAGTAGCAATAATACATCCACGTCCGACGACATAATGCTTACAAGTGAAGAGTGCTGCCAACCGTTTAGAATAAAATTTTCCACTCGAATGTGTAAAAATTCCCAAATTTTCCCACCAAGCACAATAAAAATACCCCAGAAATTTCCCAGGATTCTGTTATCATTTATGGTTACCAAGTCGGTTCCAACACGCCAAAAACCGTCCCATGATTCATGAACGGTTTGGAAATCACTCTGTTTAGGAATTTTGGATTCTACGTACAAACTTTAGGCTTTGCACAGAATCGTGACGGTACATAGGACGGTTTCCTGCTGTGTTGGAACAAAGATCATATTAGCTTATTTTCAGTCGATCAATCCATTTGCCAATTAGGATAAACGTTCAACTTATTGTAAAATAGATGGGCAAATGGAAATTACCACAGCCTCCTATACTTAACAAGCCATGAAGTTGGAAATGACGGCAACGTCGCGTATGGTGCTATTTTGTTATTGGGTTATGTGTTTCTGTGTATTGCTTTCATTGTGTATTGTTGCAATTTAGTATTTTTATGGGCATTATTGACGAAAAAGTGGATAGAAACACACTAATATATTGCCCATATTTAGGTGATACCTGTTACTTTGTGCTTTGATTGCAAATTTTTAGCAAATGGGTACAGGAGCAAAAATGAAGGTAAGGTAACGTAAAACAATAAAAACAATATTAATATTTGTCTGCAAGAGCATAGGTCTCGATATATTACCTAAGATATTTAAACTTGTTCCAGAATCCAGATGCCATGAAACTACTGTGTTCCTGGGTGCAAATCGAACTATTAGGAGTTCCTTAAAAACTAAAGAAATGCAAACATTTTTATTTCCAAAAAAATTCTGAATTGCAAAAAATGTGGATGAAAGCAATACACCAAGATAATTATACCCAAGATTATACAATAACGAAAAATTCTGTGGTGTGTTGTAAACATTTTGAAGAAACCGAAATAATTAGATTTGAAACAAACAAGGATAAAGGCGTAGTTCGAGAGTTCAAACTAAAACGTCCAACTCTTAAAAGTAGGTACCTCTTATTTTCGAAAATCAGCTCGAGTATTTGAATGGACTTGCCTTCCGAAAAAATCCCGAAGAAAGAAAAAGTTAGATTTTCAAAAGACATACTGAAACATAGGCCTATAACACTTTAGACTCTAGAAATATATTCATTTAAATCAATTATTTACTGTTCTTATTTACACAAATAGTTAAATTATTCATTGAATTACTGTTTTTGGCCCTTTAGTACAATAAATTATGCATTTTTTGTGATTCATATTAATAAAATAAAAAATATATATTTATACAAACAAACACCACCAGCACCACTTGACGGTAAGATTGCGGTGTTGCCTTTTTAACTTCATGGCTTGTTAAATGTAGGAGGCTGTGAAATTACCGTTCTAGAACGATTCTCATGTTGGTTGAAACAGAGCTATTGGCTGTGACAGCTTGTCAGCTTGGATGTGGAAGCATCTCGTAGCAGAACGCTAAACGTTATTGGTTTAAGTACCATGGAGACAGAATGAATATTAAATAAATAAATAATTAATATTGACAGTTCGACCGTTGACTGGCGTTAACACTTGACAAAGACCGAATTTTCGCGACGAATGTAGTTCATCCAAGAATGAACCATAGTTCGTCTTGTGACGTCATAAGTTTGAAGGCTGGCTAGAAGCTGCGTCCATGCATTTGGCGAACTACGTTTAATATGACGTCATGAGTTTCTCGCGAAAGCGTTTGTGTTCATGAAATCATGGAAGTAGTTCGTCGCGAAAATTCGGTTTATTATGTTGACAAGGCAAGGATAACTTGATAAGATGATTTTTGGCAACTTTAAAACATGACAATGCTGCGAGAGGCTGACAAATTTCATAAAAATGTTCATTTTCTAGTTTTATTCCCAAAAATACTCAAAATTTCGTATATTTTTTAATTTTATTTCCTTGAGTTAACAAAATTTCCCATGAAAACATGTATTTCTAATATGTTTCCCTTTTTCCCATTTCAAATATTTTCGTCCAAAAATTTCCACGAAAAGGGAAAAAATAATCATCTAACCCTATCCTATTATATACAAAAACAACCAAACAAAGAAAAGGTAACATAAACACTTCCAAGGGTTGGAAGTACCCTTGGAATGCACGTGAAGGAATGCTGGTGGAAACAAAAAAAAAACCTCATTGCTTGGAACTATATTTTCATTCTTCGTCTATTCTAAGCGGTTCCATGAGCGGAAGAAATTGAGTGCGCTACTTACCAAAAAGTAGCCCCGAGGACCTCGGGGTAGCCAACTTTAGTACATACGGATGAGATGCCCGTGAGGTCCTTGTGGTTCTCAAAAAACTTCTCTTGGCTGGAATGACATCTTCAAAACATCTCCCATAGTAATAGCAATAGAATAATGACAAGTGGGCTACCTTGCGTCTATGTTCGAGAGATTGCAATGAATCGGTGAGAGTTGGATTACCAATTATTTTAATAGCTCTTCTTTGTAAGTACTGCATCTAATAAAACCAACGAATGCTTGGAAGTATCACTGACATCGCTCCAGATGTGGGAACAGTATTCCATACATGATCTGATTTGAGCCTCATAAATGAGAAGTTGTTCAGAAGTAAAGAAGCTTTTCACATGAAACACAAAAACCTGATTTTTGGCCATGCCATGCCAAGCCAAGTTAGTCGATGCGGTCACCCCAAGAAGAGATGCTGAGGGATTAATTTAATAAAAAAGTTTTGTCCCGACATTTTTAAAACTGCGTTATCATCGACGGAAGATTTCTTATTTGAGAATACTGTTGCTTGAGTTTTAGCAGCATTGAATTTGACTAGGTTGTTAAGGCCCCAATTGATAATAGTGTCAAGATCACTGTTGATAGAGTGAATCTGTTCTCGGACGAGGTATGTGCAATGCGCAAATGGCTGTAGTAAGCGGTTTGTCAGAGGAGAAAGATGCAATCAAGCTAGTATCGTCCGCAAAGCTGTACATGGAGTTTCTTGTCAAAGAAACTCCATGTTCTTATGGAATTTCTGACCATGGTTAAATTTAACCAAATTTCAGTAGGTATGTTATAGATCTCACCTTTCTGATCAATAACTGCCATGGGCACAATCTAATCCTAATGAGGTAGTTTAATGTCCAAAAAATTTACATATTTTTGACTGCGATTGACAAGAAATGTCAGCTTTTTTGACCGGTTGACAGGTCGCAAAACCCAATATTCTGGTACAGTATCCGCTAAAATAAACAGTACCGAACATACAAATTATAGCATTTATTAATTTGTATCATGCGTATATGTCCAAAAAATGCATCATAGCGACGCAACAAAGCTTCACAACGATTCTGCAGATCATTGATAATATTTATTTATTGTTTCACACTTCAGCCTTTATTCCTTCCAACTCCGTATGACCGGAAATAGTGAGAAAGAAAACTGTTTCTTCAGTAGAAAGATACATAATGACGAAGATTTTTAACCTTAACTTAATGTCAACCTCATAACTAATGCCAAGTACCTAAGCGAGATATGATAAATACAATTTGCGTACGCAATTACTCAGAGCTCTAGATTTCGGTACTGTTTATTTTGGCGGATACCGTATTTTAATTATTTTTCAATAGTTGCTAAGGAATCAATGAATAAAAATACGGGAATTCTCGTACTGCTGAACAATTGGAACAAAAAGACAAACATTTAACAGATATTTAACCGATCGCAGAAAAATAGTATCTGTATTTCGGTGGAAAAGCACATTCTCGGCCGACGGTGTAAGTTGGCAAACACCCACTTTTCCACCTAAATACATTTACATCTATCTGTCACCACATAAATGACATTTACATCTATCTGTCACCTGATGAGCTTGAGGATACCTGTCCATTCTGGTATCTTATCAGGTGACAGGTAGATGTAAATGCATATAAAATGTGTACATTTCTTGGACATTAAACTACCCGTATCTCAGAAACTAGGATTAAGTTGTGTCCATGTTAGTTATTGATCAGAAAGGTGAGATCTATAACATACTAAAATTTGGTTAAATTTGACCGCGGTCAGAAATCCCATAAGAAGTGTGCGCGTTCGGAAGACCATACGATGGAAGTTTGCTGAGGAGACCTCTGTGCCACACCTGATCAAAAGCCTTGGAGATGTCCAATGCTACAATTCTGGATTCGCCATGTTTTTTGAGATTCGAGTTTCAAATATGACTGACGCGCGCCAGCAGATCTCTTGTTGCTCTTTTCGACCAGCTGACAGCTTTACAAGAATAAAGAACTTCAGATGCCAAATGCCTGTCTGCAAAATATCTGGACGAACTAGATTGCGACTGCCCAGAAAATAGAGACCTGGAAGCAAGTTGAAGAGGCCTATATCCAGCAGTCGATCCAAGAGGCTGTGTGATGACGATGAAAAAAAAATTGATGCAATCAGTTATTCAAGTACGATCCATTAGGATGTTGAGCAGGTAAATCAGAAGCTATTCAATCAACAAATCTACATTTTATCAGTTCAATCGCGTATGCGTAAGCTATCAAATTTTGACTGCCGCCACTACCGCAGCTTTTGTTTTGGGCCACAATTAACCCACTTTTTGCCGTCAATGACTACCGATTGCCTTGTATATCTGCACACTTTCATATATCTTTTGCGTTCTGCACCTAGACTTAACACTACTTCTACGCTAAGTAGAGACCATGCTCGAGAAGAAGAAGAAGCAGAAGAAGGCCGTTGCCGCGTTCAGTTGTTTTGGCGTTGCAGGAGATTGTTGTTAGTCTGTTGTTTCCTGCGGCGCGGTGCGATGTGCAACTGTTTCCGTTATTTTTCGTTTGTTTTGCAACGCGCGCCTCCACCAAACGGTGTTGCAGTGTTGTGCTGAACGGGAATAACTGGGATAATATGGCATGTATGAACCTTATTAAGGACTATTTTCGAAAAGGTAAGTTTTTCGACTTTTTTTTTTGACAGTCTAGTGGTTTATCACCATAACTGATAAAAAAATGCTATCCTCCCCTAAAGTTCATTGAAAGGGTAGGTATAATTTATTTGAAATAGAATTCGTCGATTCCCTCCAAGATACCAGATGCGATATTTTGGAAAAAAAAATTAAAATGAACCCATGTTTAGTATAATAAATATATAAATATAATGTTTTTTTGTTTTGAAAACATAAAGTTTATAGGTAATACCTTTTACCTATTGCCTCAAATTTAAAACGAAAAGTAGGTATAGATACATAGGTATAGGTACCGCTGAATTGAAATTAACAGATTTGAGAATAAACATCCAACTAATTGAACTTCGTAGGACCTACATAGTAGGTAATTCATAGTAAAGTTCATAATTTCTTGCATTTCTATTTTTCTATTTTCTGAAGTAGCCCTAATCAAATTAGTTCACTTATCATTAACCAATTTGTAACAAAAATAAAAAACTCTATATAATTATAACATATCATCTGGTTAATGACTGGGTATACCTACCTACATAATAATTACAAATTTTACATGATATACGATTTCAATAATCAAAGTATCAAAGCATATAGGTACTGACATTTTTGAAATATACAAAAGAAGCTAACAAAATCTTGATAATCCAATAAAAACTAAATAAATAAAAGGCATTATTTAAATTTTCCATAGTAAGTCTTCATCTGATGGTGTGCCGTGCAAAGACATTTTATTCAATATTAATTGCATTACATACAAGATTTCTCTTGTATTTTCTAATATTAAGTACTACAACAAAGTATAGCTACACAAGTTAATGAAAATTAAATTTCTTCAAATTATTGCTCGATCGATATTAAGTATTAATGAGTAAAAGTTGTTTTTCCTTATACATAAACAGTTTGAGTTTTTTTTTATGGCCCATTAGATTTGATTTTTTTGTTTCATTATGACATACCAAACACTTATAGACAAAAAGCCAAATGACCATTTTGGATACTGCTTCCTGGATCATAAAGTATCTGTAGATATACAATGTCAAGAGTGTTTCAATGTATTAAACTATGTCAAATATTCCTATATCCACATAGTATTGTTGTGAACCAGTCCACTACATTTCCTCTTTAACACATTCTACCATCTGTGGATCTGTTTAGTTTAGTCCCTTGTCCAAATAGGTAATTTATAACCCAGTTTATAATTTATTGCTTATTGAGGGTTTGAAGACGATGCCGGCTGAAATTATTATACAACCAATGTCCTGTTCACGCTAATTTCCCGAAAAGTTATTTCCTTTTGTCGGTACTTCAATTCCAGGAGCCCCAATTATTGTAAATATAAATCAATATAACTCACGAAGGGTATTCTGGCCGCCAAAGACAAGAGACCTTATCCCAGACCTTATTTTATTATCCAGTTGGTGTGAAGTTTTTAGCTTCGGAAGCATTCAGTCGAATCTCAATAAAATAAACGAAACTTTCAAATTATCTCGAGTTTCATTTACTAAAATAACGGAAAATAGGTACAAGTGCCTTTATAATCCGAGATTATTACATTGGTATATATCAGCGGCGAGATTATATAACAGTATTTATTCAAAAAAGTTACCTACAATTATGTATTTTCCTAATTATCGTTTTTATTTTTTTATTAAAAATTAAGTTTCATTTATTCCAACATAATGTTTTCATGTTATCCAGAACAATTTTAAAAGCTTACTCAGAAGGCACTAATAATAAATCCAACCGAAATTATAAAATACAATTGGAAATCGTATAAACTAAATAACAATTCTATAATCATGCTTCCAAAGAAAAAAGTTCTCCTCAACCATTTGCTGCCTCCAAAAATTATAAAAATTGCAGAAAGCTGACCCACCACACGGTTTGATAGGTGTTATATTATTCGAAAATTTGGCGGCATGTGTTATTTTTATGAAAATGGTAAAAATAATTGTGTTTGGCATGATTTTCATAAAGTTCGAACTCAAGGATACATTTTGACATTATACCCTGCATATAAATGCATAGATTAGCAATTAACTGACTAGATAGATCTATTCACATTCAGTTGATGTTTTGCATAATTATCGTGGATCTCTACTCTCTGAAAAATTATGGGTAAAAATCGATCTGTTCTGGTCTGGGTAATTTTTTGACGGCAACAAAACTAAATATGCAAATAATGGTTGGCATATAAAGAATTCTTAGTTCGCATTTTTGACAGCCTCATTTGCCTAAGCTTGTAATTCCCGAAGCACACATTGTCAAATCAGCCCCAACAATATAAACAATATCAGAGAATTGTATGTTACAAATCATCGATTGTCAATATTGTCTGCAGGTAGTCAGCTTCCTTATAAGGAATGACCGTTTTTCTTGAGAGTGAGAATAATAATTAAGCTTGTTATGATTCTTATTAGTACCTTTTTTTCTGATGGACTTCTGCTAGTATATTTAAATATTGAATAAAACCAGCAGACACGATAAAAATGCAAAAAATATCATAGTAGTGCAATATCTAGTCATCCAGGATAATCTTGCGAGTACCTATCTTTTTTGTTTAATAACGACGAACAGCTGAAAACTTCAATATAGAAAAAATCATACAATGGAACTGTAGAGACTGCATAAATAATTACTGCTACATAAAGCAATTATTGCAAGAACATGATCATGATCCCATATGTCTTGCGGTTCAAGAAGCACATCTCAATCCAAACCAACCATATTCCCTCAAAGGATATTCAGTTGTAAGGCGCGATGCACATGGAGTTGTCACTAATATGCTCATAAAAGCAGATGTCGCCTTCTCAAAAATAGATATCACGAGCGAGCTGCAAGTTATCGCAATCAAAATGATCAGTCCTGAAAATATAACACTATGCAATGTTTACCTACCTGACAGATCCTGGACAATTGAACAAATCGACCACGTCATAGAGCCTTTTCCTTATGTGGTAATGGAAGACTTTAATGCTCACCATACACTTTGGGGCTCAATAAAAACAGACGCTAAAGACCGTATTCTTGAGAGATGGTTGGAAGGAGATGTCCTAGCTATAATGAAAACTGGTTCTGCAACACATTTCAACGAAAAATCTAAAAACTTCTCCGCAATTGAATTGACAATTACCTGGAGTATTGATGGAGTCGATAGAGATGATCTACACAACAGCGATCACTTTCCAATAATCATTCAACTGGGCAAACCGAAAATGATACACTCGGTACCTATTAAATGGAACATAACCAAAGCAAACTGGAAAAAGTTTAGAAATTCACTCAAACCACCAATAGAGGTAAATGTCGGCGAAATCACAAAGTGCATACTTGCAGCAGCAAATAAAAGTATACCAAAGTCTGGAAGTAAACCAATCAAGAAAGTTGTACCATGGTGGAACGACGAAACAAAAAATGTAATCAAACTTAAAAAATTAGCACTGAACAAATTTGAAAGATGTCCGACCAGTGAAAACTTAATAGAGTTCAGGAGAGCTAGAGCAAAAGCAAGACGAGTTATACTCAAAAATAAAAGAGACACTTGGGATCAGTTCACAACAGCAATTACACCTGACACAGAAATTAAAACTATGTGGAAAAAAGTTAAAGCAGTATCGCAATACAAACAATACAATCACCTCCATACAAACAGAACGCGGAATTATAACTGAAGTTCCTGCAGAAATAGCAAACATAATATCCGCCTACTTTGAAAAAGTCAGCAAGTCTATCAACTATGATGCAAACTTTCTACAAAGAAAGAATAACTTAGAAGTAGATGTAGACTTCATCATAGTTATCGATGTGGATTACAACTTATCTTTCAGCATAAAATAGCTCACGGATTCAATTCAGCAATCAAAAATGGTGCACCAGGCCCAGACACAATTTTAAATGAAATGCTTAAAAATTTAACACCTAAAATAAAACAAACTTTATAACAACTTATGGTATAACAATGCTTACCCGGAATCATGGAAACAAGCAGACGTAGTTCCTATACCCAAATCTAATAAGAACAAATTGTCACCATCAAACCTCAGACCCATTAGTCTTACCTGCTGTATGGGTAAGCTGCTTGAAACAATGGCAAACAACAGACTCCAAGATTATCTGGAAAATGACAATTTACTGGTGCTTCACCAGACGGGGTATAGGAAAAAACGATCAACAATGGATCACTTGGTTCTTTGATATAAAAGGAGCGTTTGATATGACGTGGCGCCATGAAATTTCGGATAAATTGTCCAAGTTTGGGATGAAAGAGAAGCTGCCATTATTTATTAAATCGTTTCTCGGAAACAGACAGTTTAAAGTAAGAGTCGCAAATAAATTATTAATAAATCGATTACTGGAAAATGGTGTTCCACAAGGCCCAACACTCAGCTGTACTCTGGTTTGTAATTGCCATAAATGAAATACGTGAAGATATTAACCAAGAAATCAAAAAATGTCTCTATGTTGATGAAGTAGCAATTATTTGCAGTGGTAAGAAAATAGAAAACATGGCAAGGACATTGCAACCAGCAATCAAGACGATAATTAACAACGGGGAAAAAATTGGCTTTCAATTCTCCAATGAAAAAACAAAATGTGTACACTTCTGCAGGCCTAGAAAACCTCATTATGACCCACTGCTCTATTTAAACGAAAACGCAATAGAGACTGTTAATGCAACCAAATTTCTAGTATTAACATTTGACATCAGACTTAACTGGCACAAACACATCCAACTTGTAAACAAAAAATGCAGAAAAACACTCAAGCCTTAGCACATACAGAATGGGGAGCCGACTCAAAAAGTCTTGTTATGACATACGAAGCATTAGTACTGTCTAAGATAGAATACGGCAGCATTGTGTAGGTACTCCTCAGCAAGAAAAAGTCAATAAGGTATCTTAGATAAAATTGAGAATATAGGGATAGGATATTGTTTGAGCGAATTCCCGACAACTCCTATACGAAGTCTTTACTGTGAATCCGCT